AACCCAGAATGGACATGCACTGTTCTGCCAGCTCTGTAGTATAATGAATGAAGGCAGAGAGAGTGGAGGGTTGAAAAACTCAATGGGAGGTAAACTAACTTCCAAATTTGGGAAGAGTCAAGTGTGGGTGGAAAGAACGGTGGCAAGAAGCATGGAAGGTTTTAGAAGAGGAACAATGGGAGGACTCGATAACTGAGTCTGTGTGGGGCTGGCAGGGAAGGATATTACCAAAGAAGTCAAATGGCTGAGGTTTCTGGTCTGCATGACTCATGACTGTAACAGAGATAGGGCTACTCTACTTCCTTCCTCCTTCCATTTTGTCTCTTTTATAGCCTCTTCCTTTATTATGATACAGAATACATCACAGCTGGATTTGCTGAGGAGTGTTCCAGTGTGAAACTAAAGCAAAACCAGGTATTAAGCTCAGTTACACACATCTGTGAGTAAACTGCACAGTTTGGAGAAATGGATGTGATGAGAGCAAAACAGAAGATAATGGTGCAAGGGTAGAAAGTAGGGGAAAAATCTACTTTTCCGGGTGAGATGAACATACACGTGCATCTGCTGAAGCAGGTGCAGTTACTTCGCGCTGGAGAGAAGGAGAACCCAACTAGTTCTCATAGCAGTTTGGTTTGAATAACAGAGTGCTGAGTGATCTCAACAAATTGACTTTCATTCCAGTGGATAGTATTGATATATAGTTGGGCATTCAGAAAGCATTATAAAAAAGTAAGTGTTACTTTTATTCTGGGACACCCGAATCGGGGATTTTGTATTGCATGCATGCATGGTGTATGTGTGTGCGCCTGTGTTGTGTGTGTCTACACCTCAGAAATTTGTTTCCCCTGTTAATTAAATAAAGCCCATGTTTGTTGGCTGTCCGGGTGGGCTGCAAGGCCCATCTGTTTAACTAGGCATTTGCCTGATATTGGAGGCGGAGGATTGGCAAGTGTAAGTGTGAATTTGAATACCAGATACAGTCTATTTAAAGCTGAATTTCTCTTTAACAAATTCACCCAGAGGTGCTGAGCAATAGGTACTTTGGAAAGCGAGTGAAGAGCACCTTTCGAAAAGGCTGAGAGCTGTGCCATTGCAGGGAGAAGGAAGCTTGGGGAAGTTCATCTCTGAGCAAGCTCCACTCTCCTTCAGGTCTCCCCACGAGGGAGGGCAGAGCACCTCAGTGACTGCAAGGCAACATGGTCTTCTGTTTCTTGCACTGAAGCACTGAGAGCAAATAATATATAAATATATTTTTTTTGATAGCACGTGTCAAGAGCAGTCAGTTCTCAGGACCAAAGGCTGTCAATCTTTGAGGTTTTTCTAAAAAGAAACGTAATTTATGATGTGTTAGGGTAAACAGTTGGATTACATTTCTGAAATACGTGTTCCATCAGGTAAAAGCATTGTGATTACAAGCGCTGAAACTGTAAGTAAGTTATGTGCTAAAAGGTTGAAAATGTGGAACAAGTATGCCTCCGCTCAACCACCAACCCCTCTTTACATCTCAGACGAATAAACTACAAGAAAAAGGGGAGGAAAGAATGTCTAAGTAATAAAACAGAAAAAGTTTGGCACGACATTTTGATAAATAATAAACCTCAACACAGTGTGAGGAGCTGTTTTATCAGTGGTCCAGGCATGAAAGGACAGCCCATCACTCTAAGAATTATAAGAGAATACAAAGAAAATGTTTTAGCTGTGAGTTGTTTGGTTGTTTACTTCTAGTTCCTTCTTTCTGTTCCGAGGTGTCTCATAAAAGCACAGGTTGGCATTTTAACATCAGACTCCCACTGCTCAGAACAGTGTTAGGAGTTTTACATATGTTTGACAGCAAAAAGATAGTCAATGTAAACAAACCTTTAATATTTCCCCTAATTCAGTTCGTGCCATGCAAATGTCAGGACTAGGAAAACAAATCAACAAACATTTGAAGCAAAACAATATACATTTCTTATTTTACATATTAAAAACAACTGTCAAACAATTATGACCTCATGTATTAGCTGGTTGCTTTGAAATATTCCTACTAGAGTTTAAAAATGCTGTGAGGGCCATTGAGCTTAAACATATTGTGCCAATCAAGAGCATATGTAATATATCTAAAGCATGAGGTAAAAATTTTCTTCATAAATTATTTCATAAATAAAGAAGTAATTTGTTTGAAAAAGTTTACGAAAATATTTGTGCTTTTATTAAGTTCTCTGCAGATCTGTTGCGGTTCATATAAATGGATTGATACAGACAACATTTTGATCTGCTTCAGTCCGACTTGCAATACAAAAAATCCAGGAGATTCCTCATTTTTCAGGCAAACTTGAGCCACACTGGGTCCGTGAAACTTCATTCATTACATTTTTAAGTGACCATGAATTTGTTGGCTTCAGTACCTTGAGTGTAACTTTAGCCTTTCAATTAAAGGACATAATTCATGCTTAAGTTTTGACTTTAACATTTCATATAATGTATAACGTTGGGTACACTTAATGGTCAAATTTTGTATTATTACAGGTGGAAAAACACCAGCCACCTCAAGGGTTTTGTGCTTGGAAAAGCATGTAATTTAATTTTTTTTTTGAACCAATTTAATCAATGATTGTTTCATGTGAGTGAATTTACACTCTTGATGATTGTCATGGATTTGAGGGTGACGGAGGGAAGATCACCTCCCTGTTAAAAATGTCATTTAAATCTTGGGGAGCAGAAGGAGATTAGGGAACTAATCCTTGTGATAAATTGTAGTGTTTAAGTTTTTGCTAAGATGCTAGAGCCTCAGCCTGGGTGCCCTGGACACCAACTTGAGCAGTTTTAGGTGGCATTAACCCTTTGCCTGCCTGCAGCCTCGCACTCCAGACCCATTGCAAAACATCTTTCTTCTAATTCGTGGTCAGTCACACCTAAAGAATGTCTCACTCAGGCTTATTTTTTTTTTCTGAATAAAAATACTTCTTGCCGCACCACACATATTTCCATAAAAGCCGGCAAGTTAATTTATGGTTTTTTTTTTTTTTAAAAAAATAACAACTCTATTCTTCATGTATTAAATACCTTTTCACAGTGGAAATTGGTGGTGGGTAGTAGTCAATGATGGCAGCGTGAAAATATGCAGGGGGTCATTAGCAGCTAGAAGATTTACTGAAGAGTTTGATCCTTATTTTCCCTGCATGCAGGACCCTAGATGGATCTGGCTCTTTTCCGACATCCATTGAAGTTGATGATAAGCACAAGTGATTCTATGTGTGTGACATTCGCTGCCTTTCCCCTCCTCCAAGAAATGTATCGCTCGCCTCGTTGTGAAACTGTGGTTTGACTACTCCTCACTTGACGAGCTTCTTTATTGCAAAAGAAGGATTGCTCCCATGTTCATCAGGAGTGTATGGGATATGAGACCCCGAAACTTCTGGAATAAAGGCGCCACAGAAAGAAATCCCGTATGTAGGGGCAGTCCCTGGGAACAGACCTGAAGACATTGTGGCAAAAGCTGTAGGGTTTCCAGTGGACATGCACTAGCTTCAATTTTTCATCTGACTGACATTCTCGGTTCTGATGTTATTACGTTTCGAAAACACACCTATCCTTTCCCTAAAAAGATGCAAGAATCATTTAGTGAAAAATATTTTGGAGGAAATTACTTCATGTTCTGCTCATAGAGTGCACCTCTCTAAAAGTCTAATTTAAATCATCTTCTGGTTTGGCGAATGAAGGCTCACTCTCCTTGGAGCACAAAATCAGTTTTAAAATGACTTTCATCGGAGGGAAAACACGCCACTTAAGGTCACCCACCTGAAGCAGATGCAGTCCAAACGCCCAACACATGTTTATGTAGTTTTTAACACCTACTATACTTCGAGTCCTGTCATGGTAAAGTTTTATGCATTGTTGATTTTTAGAAGTTAAAGAAAGTCGTTCAATTCAGTGAACTTTACGTTGAGGCAATGCCTCTGAACAAAGCGAGCATTTGAAGACGTGAAGGAGAAAAAGAAATGCCAGGAGTCCCTCATTTCCCACTAAAGTCCACGCCACACAGCCCCGCGCGTGGGTCCTGCAGCATTTGAGTAAGTGGGTCCCGTCTTCCTTTATTGTCCCATCTTTAGTTGGTACCCTCTTAAAAAAAAAAAAAAGGAAAAAAAAGTAAAAAAAAAAAAAAAAGAAAAATAGAAAGCACCCATTTGGGCCGGAGGCTTTCCTCAGCCCTGGGAAAAAAAAAAAAAAAAACCATAGCAACCTCAAGGCGCGCTTCTCCAACTCGGGGCAGAGTTCAAGTCGCCACCCCAAGCCTGGGAAGCCGGACCCCCGGGCGGCCAGGACTAGGTGTCCTCCGCCTCGAGGTTGTCACGGACGACCGGCGGGGGAGGGGGCCCGGGGCGCACGCTCACGGAGGCTGCGTCGCTTCCTCGGGAGGGCGAGGGAAAGTAGCGAGCGCTAGGTGAAAGCACTTTTGGAGTTCCTCTCCATGCTTCGCCGCAGCATCTCCGAGCTCCCGGGGCGCACGCCGCGCCGGCCGCCACGCACCGCGCTCCCCCTCGCCGCCCTCGCCGGCCCCGCCAGCGCCGCCGCCACCTGCCCCCGGCTCCTCCGAGGTACGTCCCCCGCCGGCCAGCTCCGGATTCCCCGAGATTTTTTTTTTTTTTTTACCACCCCCCCCTCCACCCCCTCTCTCTCTCTCTCTCTCTCTCTCTCTCCGCACGTTCACACACGGGGTGGGGGAGGGCCGAGGGGGAGAGGCGGGGCGGGAAGGTAGCCGGGTCCCTGCGTCTCAGTCGGCGCGCTTGCACTCGTCGGCCCGAGTTGTGGCGCAGCGGGCGCGCCGGGGCCGGGGCCGGGGGTGGCGGGCGCGGGGCGCGGGGCGCGGGGAGCGGGCGCGGGGCTCGGGCGGGCGCGGGGCGCGGGGCGCGGGCGGGCCGGGCGGCCGGCGGGGCTCGGGCCGGGCGGGGCGGCGACAGCGGCGGCGGCGGCGCGGGGACGCGCGCTGTCTCTTTAAGGGAGCTCGGTCTGGGGTGGCGCTTTCCTCCGCGAAGGCTCCTTTGATATTAATAGTGTTGGTGTCTTGAAACTGACGTAATGCGCGGAGACTGAGGTCCTGACAAGCGATAACATTTCTGATAAAGACCCGATCGCACTGCAATCTCGAGCGTCCTCTGTTTTGGTGCTGCCCCTTTCCCTCCGGACCTCGCGTCCTCCCGATCGCCCTCTCGCCTTCCTATTTTCTTTTTCTTTTTCGTTCTTTCTTCTTCTTCTTCTTCTTTTTTTTTTTAAACAAAAAACAACACCCCCTCCCCTCTCCCACCCGGCACCGGGCACATCCTCGCTCTATTTCCTTTCTCTTTCTTCTCTCTCTTTTTTTTTTATAAAGGGAGGGGGAGGGGAGGGAAAGGGGGGGAGGCAGGAAAGACCTTTTTCTCCCCCCCTCCCCAAATAATCAAAAATCAACTCTGCAAACAACAGAAGACGGTTCATGGCTCTGGCCGCCGCGCCACCATCTTTCGGGCTGCCGAGGGTGTTCTTGACGATTAATCAACAGGTAAGGAAGGGAGGCCCGGAGCGGGCCAGGGGCGCGGGGGGCGCGGGAGCCCCTCGGCCGGGCCCGGGGCGCCGCGCTGCGCCAGCTGCGCTCGCGCGTGTGTGCGCAAAATGTGGGCGATCGGGAGCAGGGAGCCCTGGGAATTAAAAGTGACTTTCTTTGGAGGAAAAAAAAAAAAAAAAAAGCCGAGGGAGAGTGTGCAGAAAGCCCAGTACAGCCTTCTCGGGTTTCACATGCATTTTCTTTCTTCCTTTTTGCGCGTGGGATTTCTTTCTTTTCTTTTTTTCTCCGCTACTCCCTCCCCTCTTTTTTTTTTCTTTTTAACCCCCCCAGTCCTCCCTTTTCCCCCTTCTCTCCTCCTTCTCCTGGGTCTCAGGCATCTGAGCCTTGGAAACCAGCGACTTCAAACTGCAGTAGCCCCTGGAGTCAGGAGGGTCAAGTTCAGCCGCCGGGGAGGAGGAAAAACAAATCCCCATTTGCCAAAAAAAGAAGTTTCAGGCCCGTGCCCCCTCCCCCCTCGCAGCCCTAGTCCCCCTGGCTGTCTGTTTTCTGGCTGATTTTAATTCTCTCCTACCGGGCGGGCTTCACGGAGGAGCTGGAGCTGGTTGCACCCGAGGGGCTGCTGCTGCAAGTTTTCTGGGGGCTCCTGGCAAGCGGGGAGCACACTGCACTCCAGCATGCAGAGTAGTAAGTTGGCGGGAGCTTGGAACGTTTGGGAGGGTCTGCGAGAGGGGCCTTCTTGTGGCCCCCCACCCCAAGCAGGACAGCTGCATGACACTGGCTTTTAAGAGTTTGCAAAGCCAGACTCCAAACTTTTTTTTTTTTTCTTTTCCCCTTAAAGGCCCAGCTGGGCTGAAGGGACAAGGAAGGCTTCGCATCTCCTGATGTACCTCTGGCCCCTGAGCTGCTCTGGGCAGCTGGGCCGAGGTGGGGTTTGTGCCCTGTCCCGCTGCCATGTGGCAGGGCCTTGTAGCCTGGGCGCTTCCATAGGGGCTGAGGAAGGGGCAGACTTCCTCTGCTTGCCGACTGGACTGGATGCACCATGTGTCGCGCGGGTCAGGGGACACTGGCCAGTGATTAAGTGCCTGACAGTGGTGGGACGTCCCGGCGGACAGGCACTTTGCCCACTGTCTGGTTTCTGTTTGGGGCCCCTGCAGACGCACATGCTGGAGAGGCCCAGGCAGAGGCTGCCGCCCCTGGGGAGCCACTCCAGGACTGTGGGACCCCAGGAAGAATTTGAGCATGAGGCAGAGGTGTGAGCTGTTCCAAGTGCCAGCCTGTCTGTGTGGCTGAGGCACTTTTTTTGTCAGTACCTGTCTGAGATGGTGCTTCCCCTGGTCCCCCAGGAAAGTCACTAACTGCTTTATGGCCCTAGGACTCTAAAGCAATTGAAGTGAGACGCTGAGGACTGGTGGGGTTCAGAGGGAATCCTGGACTTATTAAATTTTAGGACCTGCTTTCCTCCCTTCCTCTCCCCTCTCCCCCCTTCCCCCCGTATCTTTTTAGGCCTCAGAATTGATACTTTTGAAAGTTTTTGAGTTAAGAGCCATGGATCTTAATGATGAATCACAGTTATGATAGAATATCCAACCTTATCGTATTTTGGAAAATCACGGCTAGAGTTTGAAGCAAGGTAAGTGAAGTGAGAAGATTAGAGAAACTAAATGGGAGATGCATTAGGCCGACCCGTGGAACTGGTGTGGGTCCCTTGACCTTTGATAAACACTCCAGGTGGACAGGAAGTGGTGTGGGAGCCAGTCGAAGTACAAGCGGGGGGGTTACAGACAGGGCCTGAACTAAGACTGGCCACGAGATGGTAATTCTTGGCCTGGTGGTTGGACTAGAATCTGGTTGCCCAAAGCAAAAATAAGCAAACTTCCAACACCTCTTCACAGCCCTCCAGCTCTCCCAGGCTGAAAACCTTCGGGAGCTGGCTGCTGTCTGGGTTACTTTTCCTGCTGCTTTTCGGAAAAGTTGATCATTGAGAGAAGGCTGCCAGAGTTAAAAACGCAGGGGGCAGCAGGCAGAGTCCTGTGGGCGGCCAGTCCTTGACGTGGACAAAATGAGAATGAAAGTTCCTGAGTTCACTGCTGTCCAGCCTTGTACAGGCTGCTCCTTCGCTCGGAAAACTTTCTCAGTCATCCTGCCGCTAAATGTAAAAAAAAAAAAAGCAATACATGTAAAATTATGTGGGTTTTTTTTTTTCCTTTCCCCAAGTATGCCAGGGTGGTGAATAAATACAGGGTTTACATGCGAAGACGAGATTTTCCTGAAGGCAGTGTTGCTGACAGGACAGTCTGGAAATGATAGCAACATTCTGAGAATTTCTTTCTTTACCTTGATGTGAAAGTGTATTAATGACTTGCTTAATCTTCGCAAGTCAGCGTTGTCCGTGTTCGTCTCTGCTGAGCTTTCGTAACTTTCTTTGAAAGCTGTACCCTGGCATAAAAGAAAAAAAAAAAGTCTCTACAATTCAGTTAAACATCCAGGGCCACTAACGTGCTCCCGTTCGACCGTCATTCCTGGATATGAGCGGTGTGAAACATCCCGAGCAGGAATTGCTATTCCATGGCTGGCTGTATGGCTTGGTTTGTGTAAAACGTGAGGCTCGGTGAGGCTTCGTGAACACGCTCCTGGCAAGTTTTATTTACCATGGCCACACTGCTGTTTATGACTTCCTGATTATCTGTTATATGTTAGAGCACATGTGTGTGGAAGACTTTTACACATGTAATAACTAAGTCTGACGCTCTCTGAATAAATGGGGGAACATGGCAAGTTCCTCACGGAAAGTTTGTCAGTCCTCGGAATTCTAGATGCTGTCGGACTCTGGGCTGGTCTTGCAGTTTGCTGCTTTGTCCCTTAAGGGTGGCATTACCGGGGAGCAGGCGGTGGGTCCTGGCCCACTGGGAAGTCTGAGTTGGATTTGGAATTCAGCATTTAGACGACTCGTATTTTATATGATATCTTATTGTTGTTTTTGCTTTTTTTGATTATGATTTTCTACAGACTTGCTTATTAAATAGTTTAGGATCCCAAACTGAAAATCAGGAATTACTCCTACCTCTACCCTGTATATGGTATTTTTTTTTTTTTAAGGCAGGAAGCATCACTCTTAGTTTATTCTGATTTCTGCCATCTCTCTTCTGTGTAGAAGGAAATTTCATTCACAGGAAAACTGTGAAGCAGGGAAATGAATGCATGTGTTGGAAAGCTGCTCTAAAGTTCCTAGTATTCTAATGGTGTTTCTGTCACTATTCATGTCCATGTGTGTACAGAGCTGCAAACTGTAGTTTCCAACTGATGATTTGTGCTTTTTATTTTATTAAGAAATAGGGCAAAGTATACTCTTGTCTAACCATCTTGGTTGAAGTAAATAAACATTACTCAAAGTTCTAAAAGACCCAGCCGCATAGGATTTTGAAGTAGAACTTCCAATTAGAAATGAAGATAAATATTGCTAATTGGCCTTTGAACGTTTTTTCAGAATATATAGATGACCCTTTTTTAAAAATTTTAACCTCCATTTGGTGGCAGGCAACAATAACAACACTATCCCCTTGTTTGTAAAACAGCATAGACTTCAAGAAAGTTCTGGACAGGTGTCTACTACTAATTTAGAAGAAAAAGTCTTATTTTTATAGTAAGAGATGTCCTGAAAATAGAATAAGTGGCTCACGTTAAAAGCGATGCACTTAAAATAAAATGAGTAGCTCCCATTAAAACATATTCTTATTAAGATATTCTCTGGTGTGTAAAATGAAGCCATTCATTCAGCAGACTGACAGCTCTCCACTTGCTGTTTGCCTTTGCTTAATTTAGTTTCCGCAGGACAGCGAGTGTGGTAGTCTGCATCTGTTTTTGGCAGGCGCAGAAACCTATAAACTCAGACAGTTCTGCCCCCAATATTGCAGCTCACAACTTATAATCAATTTGATTGAAGAATAAAAAAAATAAGCAAGAGAGCGAGCCGGAGAGACATACAGAGAGAGAGAGAGAGCGCGCGCGCCAGAGAGACCTTTGAGGGGCTTGTCTTGTGTCGCTCATCCTCAGCCAGCTCTCAGGTAACAGGCTGCGTTTTCTGCTCTTGCTGGGTGTGACTGCTGAGGCCATGGACAAGCCAGTGCTCAGCCGTGTGTGTTTTCTCTCTTGTCTTCCTTATTTACCATTTAGTAAAATTTGAGGAAATTCAGTGGAGCATCTGCAGGCCAGCTTGTATTTTGCTGATGGAGGGGTATCTGTATTGATCTTTTGATATCGTACAGACAAGATAGGAATTGTTGGTTACTGCTGTGGGAATTCTGGGGTTCCCTTTCAGTATGAAATGAAGGTTTTCTTGTAGGATTTGCCAAGTAAAGATTTGTTCTGATTCTTTAAGGGAACTTGTAACGGCCGGGCATAGAAAAGACAAATACACTTTGCATTTTTTTAAACTTGAAAATACCAGGCAGTGTTTTTTTTTTTTTTAAAAATAATTATCTAAGTGATTTGTCTCCTAAAAACTTGATTAGTCAATTAAACATGCTACACTACCAACTGTATCTTTTTTTTTTTTTATAATAGCAAGCAATGCTGAAGACAGAGTAACTACTTTAAAAAATTTATCCCTGAATTTGATCGGGACTAAAACCACTTGCTTGTATAAATGATTCTATTAATTATGACGTGGCTAAATACTGTCATTAATGTGACCGGTGTGTTCGCCTTCCGAGTTGTCACATTGTCCAGCGGTTCTCAGATCCTGGAGAACTGAATTTGCTGCTCTTTGGTGAAGTTCTCTGATAGGCACCGTGAGACAGAACTTGGCTGCGGTTGGAAACACATCACTGGGCATCCTCAAACTCCTGCTGAAGTTGCAGAAGGAGCGATGGATGAGTGTTGCTGGAATTGTTCAGAGTTCTGGAGAGTCCGCAGTGGTCTCTGCTGCCACAGTAACTGCCTATACCAGGGATGCCTACTCTGGGTTAGCTCACTTATTTTTTTTTCTTGAAGAGCACAGATTCAAGTATTGAAAAAAAACTGATGACATTATATGTGTCTCCAAATTTGAAGCGTTATTGGAAATCATTTTCTGATTCAAAGCTATACTTGAAATACAAGTAACATTGAAGCACCCTCCTCTCCCCAGAGAAGACATTAGGTATATGCTTGTCCTGCTTCAGTACGCTCCGTGGCAAAAAAAAAAAAAAGAAAAGAAAAGAAAAAAGAAAAAAACCTTTAATTTTAAAATGTTTCTAGCTCTTTAAAAACCTGCAGTAAATAGTTTACAAGTGGCTAGACACCTTCCCTGGTGGTTTAGTTTATACAAGCAGGAAACTTTCTCTCCTACTCTTTCTCTCTCTCTTGTTTTCTTTTAACCAACTGACGTAATGCCAAACTTTGCTTTAAAAGAACAGACAGAAGTAATTGGTAGCTTTTAACTTTTAATAATGTTCTGGATTGGTTTTAGTGGCCAAAATGACTTTTTTTTTCTTAAGGAAAAAAAAAAAAGTTCAAGTAAGAACGGGCTTGTGGCCTGAGGAAGAAAGGCCCTGTTGATGAAGTTATTTTTATTCTTGTTTTTCAATCTGTTATTAAAACTCTTTCCCGCTGAGCACTGCTGGATCTCTCCAATTGCCCTTTGTGATGGCTGGTGCACTTCAGGTTACCATAACTTATACAGTTTTTAGGTTTGCGGGAGAGTGGTGTTTGTGTTGCCTTGTTTGTTCATTTATTTAGTATTATTTTGGAGTGTGTGTGTGTGTGGGGGGAACATTTGGTTTTGCTCCAATTGAAATTCATTAATTAAGGTTATCAGTGGCGGCAGGTCAATGAATGCTTGCATAGAGAATGCTACACCTGTTAGAACCTAAAATGTGAAAGTTTAATTGTTGGTGTTCATCATTTTTATGTCCAGAGGAAAGGTAATGGGCAAAAATACACCTTTAGGTTGAAAGTGTTCGTTTTAAGGGTCGGTGTCTTTCCGTTGCAGTCCTCTTTTCCTTACGTTTTTAGATAATCCTTTTTTTAACCCTGTTTTTCACATAGTACTTTTAGTTTCCTTTTCCCCAGCCCCACAAAACAAAAAGTCATTTTGTATTTTCTCCCTTTCTGACTATGTGCAGGCAAAGAGAACTTTGTCCAGTTCTGAGACACTTTGGTGATGTTGATTGACACCAGGGCAACTTCAGAGTCTAGCACCCCTTCAGAGGCTAATGTGTTCAGGGGGCAGAAAGCGTTGTGGCAGTGCTCCGTCCCTGCGGGGGAAGATGCTCTACCCAGCAGTGGAGCCCTCCACCCCACCAGGGGGATCAGAACTGAGTTTCTGATGGGAATCCTTGCTGAGGATTCAATCTAAGCGTAACTTATCCCGGACTTTGCTTTTATCCCTGGATTTGTTCCCGAGAGGGTTTTTCTTTCTTTCTCTTTTTTCTTTTTGTTTTTCCTGTTTGCTTGTTGAGCTCTCCTTCACCCAGAGCACATTTAAGGATTCATCTGAATTGAAACTCAGGTATCCCAGAGGAAGAGTTGAGCTTGTAAGGCGTCTGTGAGGGTCGTAAACTGTTCTTCATCTTCGGCATCCTTGGAGTGTTTTGTGCTCAGCGATGTGACAGTTCTGATTTAGTGTATTCAGAGGTTGCATCGTTTTGCTCC